TGATGCTAAACTTACAACACTCATAAAGGCCCTTCCACGAAAGCCAGGTTTCTTCACGTACTAGAAGAATTTTTCTTCGTGTTAGAGTCATCCAGAAAAAATGATACAGAAAAAGATTTTCAAAAGAAGAAGAGAAACAACAATACCAAGCAGAGGTAGCGACTGATGTAATTTTTAACTCCAATACGTAATCATTTGAAATTTGATTAGACGCACCTGGGAGGGAGAAGAAGTAGGAACGGCGGCGGCAGTTGAAGATGGAGGTGGAGTGGCTATGAGAGGGTTACCGGTAGCTGATTTCGTCATTTTCGGGGAATCCCGGTCTCCAGTGTTGGTCGAACTGGCACCCCGTACAGTCAGCTCTCCCATAGCTTTGAGTATCGTCGGGGGCATCGAAGGACTTTGGTGGATCAGCGACGGCCTAGAATTACATTAGGAAATCAATGTTACTAAAAGCAAGACAAAAATCAGGGCTAGTTTTGCCCGAAATTTAGCTCACAGAAATCTCATGTAAGAATGCAAAGGCTCAAAAGTGATTAAATCTAATAATTACTTGCTTGATTGTCCGCAATACGCGCCCTAGGATAAAAAGTTGAACGTTTTGCGCTCGCAGCCGAATAGAATTATTGTACGAAACTCCACTCAACAAGGTTCGTTAAAAAGAACAATAAGCAAAAAACACTCGAGTAGCCGATACAGTCATAACAAAGTGAGGCGAATACGACTGAAGGCCCAAGTACGAAAAAACCAAATCATTCTCCACATGCACCCAAATCACAAACAACAGTAGGCACGACATAAAGGAAAAACTTGTAGGGGAAAATATAAAGTTTATGCACCATTCGAAAAGAGATGGTCCGTTTGAAGTATGGTGAGTTAGTGCCAGATACCAAGATGCCTTCAGTGGCTGATCGGCCGCCAGCTTCTTGCACCGCGTCGACATTGCGCATGGTAGCGCAGCGGTGCGTTAAGGATGGTTGCTTCTCCTTAGAGATACGAAGGTTAGTTAGTACTGCAAGTTCTGGTACGATCGATGGTTCGACGATGGTGGTCCTCATATGGCGTCGGCGATTCCGGTGCATGCTGTTAACAAAGTAGAACTCAGGATTCACGGTGACAAAGTGACAATGAAGCATGGAATATAGGTAAAACATGAGAGCAAACTCCGTTGACAACACTGTGCAATGGCCGGTGTATAATTAGAAATCCTATTTACAGATGTATAAGCCACACCCTACTTGCTCCAAAGCGTACATGCCAAAAAACTGCCCGTTACCATAGGGCGCATTAAAGAGTGTCCAGACTAGGTTGGGGTTCTGGGATTACATTGTTGCGCATAAGTAGCCGTCCTGCCATACCCCCAGCCCAATCGCGGGCACATTTCGTGCAATCAAAAGGGAGAAAAGCGCTTCGAAAGTGGGGAGACTTACGCCCCTCGGACCCCGCCCACCGAATCGATTGGGTGGAGTGCGCATACCGCACACAGTCAAGACGAAGGATCCCACCAAACCTCTGCGTCTTAGCCTCAGCGGCAAGCGTCGGAATTCAAAACCAGGGGCTTCTGGA